TATACGCCTCGAGACAGGCGCCGGCGCTCGCCGCCACTCTGGATAAGGCCTATCGATCGATATTGCCTTACTAAAACTACCATAGAATTAAAATGCTTTCTTAATTTTTAAACTGCGCGCGAAACTGGATTCATCGTCTAGTTTGCCACCCTTAGAAGTGGAATATTATCTTCAAATTGAAATGGGACCGATACTGAGGCACCCCTCTGTCACACAAAAAAAAAAGACGGCTCACAAATCGCACCCCACACGGAAGAACGGCATAAGTGGAATTACGTCAAACAGGTTTATATAACCCACACGGAACAGACAAATATAACCCACATCCTCTCCAATTGTAAAAACAGCATAAAAACATTTAAACAACAAGTTACATAATGCTATAACGACAAGTGTGCGGCTGCGGCGTGTACAAAAGGCTTCCATTCAGCTAAAGTCACAACCAAGACAAGGCTGTAAAGCTGGCTTTCAATGGGCCCTAGCCGAGTGAGTGACATTTTAGTTTGAATATCGCCTCCAGTGAACCGAAACAAGATCCGTCGATGTGCAGCTTGATATGCTGCCGTCTGTACATTAATATGTACTAAATATAGCAAGTGTGTCCTTAGTTTTGTATGAAAAATGTAACCGGCATATATCAAACTAATTTTTTTAGACACTCAATGATTATGTAAAATATCTAGCGCTTAATTTGAATGCGGTATTTTCATCATATACCCTAGGCTTTTGCTTGATCATAGAAATAATATTGTCCGGGTTTGAACCACATGTACATTTTAATGTACACGGAGCCTTAGAAGGTTATAGATACCGTATGGTCTTAGTACAATACGCTATAGTACAAGTTTAAAAGTCTTCATCAATGTTAAAATCTGTAAGTCAAGGTCTACCTTTCGCCATTTTTCTATCCACATGTTCAATACATGCAATCGTTCCATTTTCTATCCCTGTCATTACATCACCTTTCAAATCACAACGCTCTCTTATCACACTGTTTATCATAAGAGATGTAAGCAAAACTCCTTGTTCTTGCAGTCCGAACATCCATCCCTTATTTATTATCATAAATCAATGTAGCGATTTTAAAATATACTACTTACAGGGTGGTTTTTAAAATACTAACAACTTCACAGGAATATATTAGTAACATGAGGCCGAGAGCGAGGACGAGACTATAAAAGGCCGCCAGCCAGAGCGAGCGACACTCGCGGGATAGCTTTCTACGGTAAGAACCTATACCGGGCCGGGCGAATTGCTCCCCCTTCCCTCCGCAAGCCTACCTTTCAGCCTGCCGCCGTCATTAGATTAAGTTAATGAAGTTCTAGTATAAAGTTAAGTGCATGTGTTCATTCTATTATAGAACCGAATAATAAATGCTCAATGTTAAAGCTCCGTGTTGGTTTCCTTTGTTAGTAGAACCTTGGATAATTCCTATACGATAGAGTGCTTGCCCCGGCGGCCTCCCAAGAATTATGCTACATTACAAGTTTTTGTTGTACTATCTGACATTTTTCAGATCTGTATTTGGTAGAATAAGTGCAAACGTGCCAGCATCCTCCGCGATGATTCCACCCCCGTTCTGCACATAGTTATTACTGTACTTATTTTTGTATGCAAGTACAATCTGATGAATTAAAAAAAAATCATTGAAAAAAACGTTGTTGTTTATGATGTTAATAATATAGTCATGTGAGGTGTTAGTATTAAAAAAAATAACCCTGTATAAAAATAAAAACAAAACTGCCAAATTAATAAATAAATTTCTACACAATATTAATGTAATTTTAACATTTAGAATAGATTTTTCTTTTCAATATTTCCCCTAATTTTATTAATTTGATTGATTGTTAAGAAATTTTTCAAAATTATATTGTGTCACAATAATTTAATAAAAAATAATATAAATATTGCTAAACTATAACCTATTTTCTTTTAATACTAATTTTTTCATAAGAATTCTTGCCCTTCATTTAGCTTATTTGTCCTCTAACAGGGGACTGGCAACTGGCGCTGTTGTATAATATAATAATAATGGATGTGTCTGACCGTCCAAACTTTATATTACCTGACGATCTATTCTCGTTCACCGTCCGAAACAATTATTGTGAAATAACTAATACTCGATCAAATAAAAAAACAATATCATATTATATCGACCCCTCGCACGTAAAGTATCGTATGTCGGTGACAATTATTAATACAAACATCGAACACTCAAAAAAAATTCCTTCGATCCGGCCGGATTCGAATCGATTAAGGTTTCTCATAGATGGCGCTGTTGGCGACAGATCTTTTTTATACATATAGATTTTTTTATGTAATTTTTATACTTGGAATTACTTTTGTTTCTTTTTGTATTTTGAATTACATTTTTGTTTCATTGTTTTTTGGTTCGCGGTGAAATGTGTTGTGTGTTTTGAAATAATTATAAAATTTTCATCAAAATAAGTGTTTTACCTCCGCCGCTGCCTCCTACTCATCGTTTTTAGGCGCTACGACTAAAAGGTCGTGGAAAAAAACCAAATACAAAGACACGATAACAGATACATAAAAAAATTCGTGAGGTCAGCTGGTTCGTTCCGTAGCTTAAGTTGGTATAGCGTCTGGCACGGTATATTCTAATTTTTTCTGAGTGTTCGGTCTTTGTATTAATAATTATAACAAATTAGTGGAGTAATTTTCACATAAAAAATAATTGAATATCAATTCAATAAAAATGTACATAGGTGACTTGGCAATTTCGACATACGATTCTTTACGTAGAAGGTAGATATGAAGCTTCATTCGCATCATGCGTCTTTTAACATAGTCGTGTATTTTACTGTGACTGAGGAAATCCCTTGTGAGTACCAGAGCAATGAAATTCACTCCGGATTTCTACCCGGAACACATAAACCGGAATCAATGTAGGAAATATCATTTTCTCAAACATGCTCGGAAATGTTTGCATTACATTAAAAAAAACGAACGGAAAGTTTATCGTTTATGGACTATGCGACTTCTTCCCGGCCTAGGCCTGCAAAGTAAGTAAGAAAATCCATTACTGTCCTCTTCTCTAAACTTTTAAATCTACCTATTAATAATGAACTATGTAAACAACAGGCAAAAGAAAATCTCGTACATCAAACTGCCCAGTGTTCATAGTTGCGAGTATCAAAAATACCTACCTGTACCGCTTTTATTTAAAAAAGGGGTAACATTTAAACTGAAGTGTTTTGGCATTCTTTTTTTCGTCTTTTTTGTATTTTGCTCGCGAAAATGAGTGCTAGCGAGAAGAGAAAATAAAAATACAGTAATAGATATACATTCAAACACATCATCAGATCAGCAGACTACTATTATTGTGTCTGGAAAAACATTTTATTTCAGCAGTTAATTGTCCTAACACGTCAAATATTACTTTTAATATTTTTATTTTACTTTTTTATTACATATTTCCCGTCTCTTTAGTCTTATTATTTCCTCGCATTGTTTGAGAAAAGCACTATACACGTCTTGGCGGCAGCGGGGTTTGCTTGACTCGTATTAATACAAGGCTTCGCTGGCGCTCGTCCATGTAACTCATACTCGTCCAGCAATGCCTTGCTTCCCAGCCTCTGAAATAATGTACTATTTCCAGGGATCGAATCCCGGAGCCATCGTCATAACTCCCCATCACCCAATTAGAGATCGCTAGCCGCATTTTATAAATTGTCACGGTTACGGCACGTCACGATTTAGCAGGGAAGTTGTTAATTTTTTTTAATGATACCATGTGACGGGACGAACAAATCGTGTGCTCGGTGACAAGCGTCACGCCTGTCCAGAGCAGTTGCAGTGCCACTTTACATTGCAAAAATCTGTAGGGCACTGCCACCGCGCCCGCCACCTTGAGACATAAGTTGACAAGTCTTATGTGCCTGCAATTTCACCAATAATAACCATAGTATAGTCTGTCTTTTTAAAAGACGGAGTAAAATGCTAGTTCATTGGGCTAAAGTGTTGCCCGCTTGCAAGCTGCTAGTGATTGCAGTCGACAAATGTTCTATCGACTATCGATTGAATATTGGTCACCATTATACAATAAATAACCGAACTTGTCTCATTTGAATCATTCGTCCAACACACTTTGACACTTGTTCATTTGAATTGCCAATTTTTGTAAGTTCATAATACATATACTGCATTCAGAACTATATCCTTAAAAATAAAAAGAGGCGACAGATATAGTTTTTTGTTTTAAAACAGCCGATAAATATTCTATCAGCTATCTACTGAATACTGATCACGCTTATGGAATAAATAGCCGAACTGGTTTTATTTGAATAATTCACGAACCATTCATCCAATTACTGAGCACAAGTTCATTTGAATTGCTATTTTTTCTAAGTTCATACATACACACATTGTATTTAAGTCCTGCTATTCTTGTTAAAATGTACATGAATAAAATTGGTTTCAATACTAATAGACCAACTGTCAAAATAAGCAATGACACAATTAGTAATCATTGGAACTTCGTAACATTCACAATTCAAAATTTTTAGCAAAATTTAACCTTCTTTCGCGATCTATCGACAAAACTGTCGCTAACATCTACATGCCTACTACGCTGCAAATGTCACTTTACTCCGTCTTCAAAAAAGACAGACTATAGACGTGCACAGCAAGTCTTTATCGTAGATGAACTTCTCTAAATCGTCATGGTAGAAAATTTGAACATGCTGTCACCGTGGAAAATGTTAAATGCAGCCATAAAACTTCATGTAAACATGTTGATATATTGTGGGAAGATATAGGAGTGCATCGGAATTACGCCGCTGAGTCTCGGCAGGTAAACGTAAAATTCAATGGTCAACAAATTAACACAACAATACACAAAAAAAAAACATTTGGCGCCATCTGTTACCAGTTTTCGTTACAACGTTATTACCGTCGATAACGTTATTGCAGAAAGCGTTATACATAGCGTCGCCTTCACGAAAAAAAAACGAAACAACGATATCCTCTCAACCTCACAGGCCATGATAACGTTGCGTCTATAACGACATTATTGTCTAAGGCGTTGTAATGGCGACGCCACCTACACGCTAAAACGTTATAAATTGCGAAAATATCCCGAGAATAAGGCAATAACGCCACAACGCTATTGCAGCAGAAAGTGTTGTAATGGCGACATCGCCTGCACGCTCAAATGTTACTAATTGTAAAAATGTCCCGGGAATAATGCAATAACGATATATAACGTTATTGCAGAAAGCGTTGTAGTAGCGACGCCACTTGAACGCTCGAATGTTACTAATTGTAATAATGTACCGGTAATAACGATATTATGACAACGTTACAGCCAGCTGTAGCGTTATGTAGGCTCAAACGTTACTAATTGCGAAAATGTCCCAGTAATAACGCAATAACGATATTGTTGCAACGTTACGAATGTATATTTATAATTTATGTAATTTACATATGTTTGAAACGCAATAGGTTATAATTAGCAATGCGGAGTGGTAGTACCTAGTCGATTAGTCGTTGGTCGCTGACTCGATTGACGACTTAGTCGGGCGGCAGGTAGCTGAATAACTTGAACTTGTCGCGGATGTACGGGCGGACGTCGTCCTTCTGCAACATATAACACATGGTACACTATTGTAATGTTTAACTAAACGGGGATAACATTTCTCGATTGCTCTCATGTAAAATTGTCACGTCAAAATACAGTTTTTTTTTTATTTTTGACTAAAATGCATCTTTTTTTATGTTTATTATAGGTTCTGTATTTAACAGTAAAGAACCCACTTAGTGTTACGTTTATTTTCAAACATGGAACCTATAATATACAAAAAGGATTTAATATTTAAGTTAAAAGCAAAAAATGGTATTTTGACTTGCAACAACTTAAGTGTGAGGTATCGTTCTTTATTCTACCCATCTCTTGATTGGACATCTCGGAAAAGTTTTACTGTGAAGCCTCTATAAAAGCTGTCCGATATATTTTACTCAAGTCATCGTTATAGCCTTAAGGAAATGAAAACGCAGAAAGCTGTCCATATTATTTATTGCAAAAGATGATAAAAGAGGAAAAGAAAGGCTGGTAACAAATTATATGAAAAGGTACAATTATTATAAAACATTCTCTATAAAACTAGTTATGTTTACACAAATATTTAAGCAATAGAGGTCCTTGTGAAAGAGTTCATCCAGGGAAGTACTGCCACCTTCTAGTGCGTTTCAGTTTTGAAGGGTAAGTAAGGGTGGTAGTGACATTACAGGCACAGGCGACTTGTCAATTTGTCTCAGGCTCACGGGCGCAGTAGCAGTGCCCCTAAAATCCTTGCAGAAGCTCTGAGTGGCACTGCAACTGTTAAGGATAAGCGTGTCGCTTACCACCAGGCGCACGACTTGTGTGTTCCATCACTTTATATTATAAAAATATGGGTCCAACTAAAAAATGTGACAACCCTACACATCGCGGGATGTGTACGCATTGGCGCCGAACAGGCGGTAGTTGCACGACTCGTTCTTATTATTACTATGCAAGTACTCCGTTTTTAGAGAGGCCTATGGCTTAGTAGTGGGGTGTACTAACCGTGGAGAGATGCTCGAGGAAGGGAAGCAGTTTGAGTAGCTCATTGTCGCTGCGGTCCACGAACCAGCTGTCGATCGGGATGCCGTTCTCCAGCTGATAGCCGAACGCCTAGAAACACACACAAAGAGCTAACTACATGAGATACTGTCGTATTTAACGTTCACTGTAGTAACTAAAGCGCCCCGTAGACGATCGGATAATTTGTAAAATTTTTCGTGTTTGTCAAACTTTTTGATGTGTTTAATAGAAATTTAGATAGACGGCGTGTTTGACAAACATGTTTGAAGGTATGCTCGCCAAACCAAACTTCAGTTGTCGCCTAAGCGTTCACCTTGCTAGATTCCTTAAAGTCGCCTGGTTCTGTGCGCAATATGTCTTTTAACTAATTTTCGTGGATATGTTTTTCTCTTAACTTCAACCATTATCTATGCCACAGTATATTTATTTTTTTCTTAATACATGCGTAAAACGGTTTATCTATTATTCTTACTCATTGCACAAATCACAAATAGATATGACTCATTGTATTAACTACAGTACGGTAAGTACGACTGTAGAAAGAGATGACCGCGTGTGAACTATAAGACTGTTCCAATCCGTTTTGAATAAAAAGTAAACAAAACGGTTTAGTTTAAATTGTAAAGCAATCACCCAATGAATCGAATAAGTAACGCTTCCACGTATATTTCGAAGATTTCGACTTGATATCTCATCACTTTTTCCAACAATATTCATTCAATAACATCGTATAAAAAATCGTAGTTAAAAAGTGAGGGTATTTTTTAATTAAAGATGTATGAATAGTCTATGGTTGCATAGTGTTGTACGGAAAAAACATTCAGTTCATTCAATTAAAGTAATCGATTAGTAAATTGAAAATTTAAATCGCAATCGAACAAGTATCTACATGTAAGGAATTTAAGGAGTATTTAAAATTAAGGAATCGGAAATTTTAAATATATGCTTTTGTAGGTTATGTATTTTCACTATTTTCATGTAAGGGAAACTGCTAGTATGGCTCAATTAAACAAATCGATTCATTCAATTAACTAACCGATTTGTAGTTAGCATTACAATTGGCCATCACTAAACCAGCTATGATCCAGACCTGTTTCTTTACTTTTTATCTAAAATGTATTGAAACGAAGTATACAGGAAGTTCATCGAAGTTGTTTGATGGTTTATTTGATCGTATGCGACCATTGACTTACAAATAAATGGACGACGGGTCTAATACAAAAACCACGAAAAAAATGTCCCAAGTCAACCTATTTAAACGTAGTGACATGTAAAGGAATATGAAAAAGCTAAAACGTTGAATTTAAATTGTAATGTCATCGCAGTACTGTCTAATTTTGCTTGCTTCGCTGTGAGTCGAACAAACGAAGACTAAAGCGTGAATGACGCTCTGTATACGATTTTAACGCCCTATAAGTTCGGACACTTTTTAGCGCGGACCCGACGTCCATATAATTGTAAGTCAATGTATGCGACACTGTTTGAAGAACACGTGAAGTTTGAAGAATAAATTGGTCAAATTATTTGATCGTTTACTGGGGCTTAAGACGTTATGACCTTACTCAGCTTTGAAAAGCGAAACACTTATAGTATGTCTACCTTTTTTATACAGGGCGTCCTTCTACAATGGGATACGAAGGGAAAATATTTTGAATATTGCTAATAGCTTCATGGATACATTATTATATTTTTAAAAGTAACACTGCAAGTCAAGCTGTAAATAACAATCTTGCTTACCTGCGGGCTATTGTCCACGATGACGGTTTTGCGCAGGTCGCGGCCGAGGATCGATAGATCCTTAACGTAGTTGCCGTTCACCAGTAGGCAATGCTCGCGGAACAACCTGCAACGACATAGTTAAATATTGGTGATCTTTCAAAATGTCTGTCACATTTTCACAATTAGTCATTAACACGAGGAATAAGAAAACTGAGAAAAATATAAAAATCTAATTGTCATTGTCTAATTGTTGTTGCGTATTTGTCAACTCTCATCCTCAATATTTTAAAACACGCGATGAAGTCATTCAAAGGCAAACTAGAGCAAAAATTATGAATCTTTTATACCAACCTCCTTGCCATAAAGTAATTTATAAGAATAACTATTTCAACATTGTGTATAATTATTTACAATAAATTACCAAACGAAATTAAATTGTTACAAGGACATACTTTTAAATTACAATTGACGAAATTGCTTTTGACACATTGCTTCTATAGTAATAAAGAATACCCAGAATTTACAAATTCATTACATTAATTAGAAACTATGGAGACTAAACATTAAATCCCATCTATATTTGGACATCTGCTTGCAGATTGAATACAATGTACCTGATTTTACTTAAGGCCCATGTAATTTCTGTATTCTGGCTAATAAACGTGTTCTATTCTATTGTCTTAAATTTTTATTGAATTAAAATTCTATTATTTTTTGCGGAATGACTCCACTATTTTATTATAATTATTAACACAAACTAATTAACACGGACACTTAGAAATATTCCTTCGATCCGACCGGATTCGAACCGACGTCTTTTAGCATACCGTGGCAGACGCTATGCCAATCAGAGGCACGGAACGAACCAGCGGACATCACTTGTCGGATCGTTGTATTCGGTTTTTCAACGTATTTTTAATCCTAGCGCCATCTATGAGAAATCTGTGAAAGTATTTCGTCAGCCAGTTAGATATCTTTACAGCTACCAGCCCTTTAATATTTTTTTTATTGATTTTATATTCAATCATATTTTGTGAAATTACTTCACTAGTATGTTTGTCGCTCATTAATAATAAAAAAATACTGCGGCTACTAGTACAATACGAACGCGTAATTACTAAGTAAATTTTGGTGGGTTGGATAGGAGTGCCACTCTCAATGCGGCGATTTCAAGCTTCGCACGAAACAAAGGCCCCTCGACTTCGACCTCCGGAGTGACGGCCTCACCTGTACTTGATCCACCGCCGCGCCGGGTCCAGCAGGTTGAGCAGCCGGTCGGCGTACACGCGCTTGCTGGCCGTGAAGAGGATGACCTCGTAGAGGCGCGACACGCGCGACAGGAACTCCGCGAAGTGCGGCCGCGTGCGCACGAACACCTGCCGGCGGCCCGCCGTCGTCAGACTAGGCAGTGGCGACAATTTGTGCAAAATGGTGCAATGGTCGCCACAACCCACACGTTCTTATTTAAAACACTACAAAATCTTGATATTGATTGGACGTAGTTTCATATTTGAAAATAAATAACAAATTCTGGATTGTTATTATAATTTAAACTTTATTATTATTGCCAGTTACATTTTGATGCCATCTAGCGGTTAATTGCTGAACGATGACGAAGTGGAATTATTAATTTAGTTCTCCAAAAAAGAAGCGAGCATACTGCAGGGGTATAAGCATTGACTTACAAGTATATGGACGTCGGGTCCGCGCTAAAAAGTGTCCGCACTTGTAAGGCGCTAAAATCGTACACAGAGCGCCAAACTCCGCTTTAGTCTTCATTTGTTCGACTGACAGCGCGATACTGCGATGACATTACAATTTAAATTTCGAATAGGTTGACTTGGGACATTTTTTTCGTGGTTTTTGTATTAGACCCGTCGTCCATTTATTTGTAAGTCAATGGGTATAAGCTTTACTTTCGTTTCTTGTAACAAAAAAATTATTTCGATAAACAATTTATTAAAATAAGACCCCGATGATGTGAAATACCACCACGGGTAAAATATTTTCGGTGCGGCTATTATTTTTGCACTCCAAAACAGCACAATAAGGCAATTCTCTAGAATTTTACAGAATTTGCACGAAAGAACACACCATACAAAGTGAAAATGGCGGACTGTGCTCAGATAGGTCTTCCGAGACCTATAGTTATTTATTTATTAAAACTTTATCGACCACAAGACATGATTGTACAAAAGGCGGACTTAATGCTAAAAGCATTCTCTACCAGTCAACCTTTATTTGGCAGGCGTCTGACGCTAACTAACCACTTCTACTGTATTTATTGTTCTGTGCCGAAATCCAAACCCAAGTTCAAAACACTGTACCGGCAACACCTACTCTCACTTCAAGAGTCTGTGTAGTGTTTGTATTATTTTCGGTAGGCTGTCTAGAATCGATTTTTTTTTAATTAGTGATCGCGGTAGTATTAGTTTTTTATGCACGCATGTGACATATACGTCACATGCGCCTTTCACCTAACGGCAGCAGTTATATTCATTTTAATTAAGAAGATCTGTACACTATACTCCATGGAACCATTTATTGAACTTTTGACATAATTATGCATGCCTCTGAAGCTTCGTAATTATTGACATACAACCATAGACAAAAAAATGCAATGCTTCCTGGACTCTTTTATTTTTAAATTTTTCTGATACGACGTGCTCTTTAGCTCCGTTGTCTATCGAGACAACAGATTATGTAACAAAAATTTGATAAATTTTAGTACCTGTCTAATAAACTGTAATGAAATTAAATAAATTATAAATAATTATAATATTTTTCGAGTTCTTAGGTTTTCGCGATTGTTATACATAGGAATGAAACTATTTTTCCGGATTTAAATCGCGTATATTTGTAATATTTGTAATCGCGTATACCTGTAAAGGGCCCGAAACGTCGGTTTGTTTGAAAAAACAAATATACGCGATTTAAATCCGGAAAAATAGTTTCATTCCTATATAATATTTTTTATTATTTATTACAATGAATGGTCGGATTCTTCTCCATATGCACGAGAGTCATCATCACTTGAATCCACATTAATTATAAATTCTTGAGTACACAAATTGTCAAACGCATCGTCACGATCCCAATCAGAAACTACCTTCTTTTTTGAACCCGCGCACATTAACGATTTAAACTTCTTCATAAATAAAATCGATTGTTATAAGACAATCGAATCGGAAACGCATTAGGACATCACATATTAACTAGAATTCGAGCTGTCAAAAGTTAAATAAATAGTTGTACGGAGTATAACTGTGAAAAGTTGTGATGACCTTTAAACAGCTGAATAGATGTTCAAAAAGCTACAGGTACCGTGTATCTGCAGTCCTGGAAGAGCACGGGGAAGTGGAAGCTGGCGTCCGGCAACTCTTGCAGAGAGCAGTGGACCAGCGTCTCGTCCAAGTCCAGAACCTGAATATAACATCAACTATGGTTATTTTTCTACATATACATATAACTCATTTCATGAGACGCACTCTGTATAAACAGCGAGTCGACTACGCCTCCTTCGGCAAGGCAAAGTGGTCTGCCGAAGTCAACACTGTGTAAATACGCCATTAATATCAACATCGATATAGCCAGAAATCATGAGGCAAATTAGCCTTGTATCACTTATAAATATCAACTCTCGTTTGCACTGAAATATAGACAGCGCCAACAACTGACCTGTGTGTACGTCTCCGTATATTCCAAAAATATTCTGTATTTATTGTAATAAGGATAATATCTCTAACTATGGGAGGCTGTTCCATTCGGTGGTGTGGGAAAAACAGCAAAACATCTAATGTAATTTTTCAATTGTCGTCCATTATAGCAAAGCTCAAGTTAAAGTGAAACAATTGACAACACCCGTCAATTGTTTCGAATTCGGGCTGGCCATTCGGAGCGCAGTTGTCACCGTAATGATTTGGCAGAATAGTTTTCAAACAAATATGACATTTCGTCTCTATTTCTGGTTATATACTCGATGAGTACCAATTTCATTCCATTTATTGGTCATGTTACAAAAAAAGTCACATTTGGCAAACCAAAATGCTATAATAATTAAAATAACTGAAAACACCTTTTAAATACAATTTCATTAAATAAAATCAATTAAAATAAATTAATTAAAACATAAAAGTTGTCATTTAAAACGTTAAAATAACATAAAACAGAATGCATCAACATACCAATAATATAATCAAATTTAGTGTTATATCTGCAGTCACTTGGCGGGAGGATAGTAGTACATTATTGCAGAGACTGGGAAGCAACGGATTGTCACAGACGGACATGAGTTACAAGGCCTGTATTATATATACTATTTAGGCAACTCCCGTGCCCGTCGAAATATAGTGCTTTTCTCAACCAATGCGAGGAAACAATAAAGAATGTGTAATAGAAAAAGTAAAACCAGTTTACCATGACAAATTTTGCTTCTTGTTTTACATTAGGCGGAATAGTTCACTATTGTAATTTAGCATTTCTCACATTTTCGCGAAGAAAATATTAAAATGATCTCAGTACAGAGTACTAAAAAAAAACTGACCTCAAAAGTACGTGGAATTACATCTCTTTGCCAAGTTTTATTGAAATATCTCCTAGTTCGCCACTATATAGGACTTGACGTAAAATTATTAAAAATCGGTTCTGACTACTCAAAGTATATTGAGAGAGAAAGACGCCTTGAATTCGAGAATAGCAAAACCAACCATTAAAATAATTGCTCCTTACGTAAAATTTAGGCGCTATTTATAAACATGAATGTTAATGCGTGATCAGCCACCCTTAGAGGTGGATGACTTTCTTCAAAATGAAATGGGACCATTATGGAGGTACCCTCCATAATGGTCCCATTTCATTTTGTAGAGTTTCCCTAGTGCGGGGCTATGTCGAGTGTGTGCGTTATTATTATTATTATTATTTATATGGGTGTAACTTGTTGTTGTCTATGTGTGCGTCAATGGCACCCACGACACAGGGTTATATGCGATATTAAGTAGTTTTTATTGTAAAATAAATGTGAAAGCTACACATGACGTCGGTTTCGATACCCCATCAGCGTACTCCCAAAATGATGTCCATATTATTGAATATTTTCAAAATTGTACCCCAATGTGGGGTAGATGAAGTAGGTACAAGAAGATCGGTAACTTACGAGGCTGAAGTCCGGACTGGTGCGCGTCTTGAGCGGCAGAGCCGGGAAGCGGGCGCGGAGGGCACGGGTGGCCACCGACTCCAACGGGGGCAGCTGCGGGGGACAAGCCAAATGCAGTTTAGTAGCTGAAGAGCTCCTTGTGTAAGAGTTCGTCCAGGGTAGTACTCCCACCTTACCCATTTCTGCCGTAAGGGTGGTGGTGAAATTCCAGACACATGGGACTTGTCAACTTATGTCTCAGGGTGACCGGCGCAGTGGTAGTGCCCCTCAGATCTTTGTGATTTAAAGCACTAAGTGTCTCTACAACTGTTATGGACAGGCGTGTAGCTTACCATCACGCGTACGACTTTTTCATTCCGTCACTTGATGTAAAATTATAAAAAAATCTCATATCGTCTCTTGACCACAAAGTGACGGTAACCAAGAAGTAATATTTTTTGGATACTATCAACATTTTTAAGTTTATTGATTTACTACTACGATTTTTTTTTTTTGTGAAATTACTCCACAAGTTTGTTATAATTATTAATAACAAAGATCGAACACTTAGAAAAAGGATCTAAAGGAATATTGTAAATGTATTCAAATGTAGAGGCGACGAAAACCGCGGTTGTTGGCAGTGCCACGCGACCGGATTAATCTGAACCAGAAAACCCTGCTCTCACGAACTTTGCAAATCCTAAATGAGGTTGCAGACAGAACGGACTTGTTTTCATGTCACGGTTTCTTATTCTATGTCATGGATTTAATGAAAGAATCTTCGCATGCATGAATTTGTGCACTATCGCATTGGTTATAACTGTAATGGTAGATGTAAAGTTTTAAATAAATAAAATAAAAAATATTTACAAAGAGCAACCCCTAGAGTTTCTTGCTCATTCTTCTCAGGAGACTCTACCTTACGAATGAGCAGTAGAGTTTAGGGTCGAAACACAAAACGCAGTTTTGTCATCTGCGACGCGAATAGATGCGATGCAATTTCGTACAGCAAGGCATCTCAGTACTACGGTAACCTTTCCTTCGACAGTCGTCAATCGTACTGAACGTATTTTTTAAACTAGGTAGCGACATGGATTGTAAAAAGAGTGTTGCGCTGCTGTTATTGAATAATCTTAATGTATATAAGAAAATATAGGAAACACACAAAGAAGATTAACATCGCAGGAATGCGAGATGCGGAGCAATTCGCAGATTTGTGTTTCGACCCTTAATTAATACAACGATTTCAAGTGTTATTTTCTTACCTATGAAATTAAGATGATTTTGAATTTGAACACTTAAGGATGAATGTCCAAAGTAAAAGCTTTGAATTTAAAAATAACTCGTATCCATATCAACCGTCGCTTTGATCTCCGATTGGTAACGTTGCGAACATACCTGTTTGATGAAGAGATAGGGGTCGAAGGTGTCAACCCATGAAGAAATCTGCTCGCAGTCTACACGGCTGCTGCATGATGATATCACGTCTACCGCTTCCTCCTGATAAAAGAAACAAAATAACAATTCCTGAAGCTCAATTTACACTGCAGCGGAACTTTTATAAAGGCGCTAATGAAACTACGGAAACATGGGACTTGTCAACTTATGTCTCAGGGTGACGGGCGCAGTGGGAGTGGCCGTCAGATCTTAGCAATTTAAAGTTCAAAAAAAAATTCTCACATTAAATGCCATAACCTTAAACATTAATTGAACAAAAACTATTATGCTACTTCGGAACCGGTATACTTGGGTAGTGTTGAGTTACTCATACACGAGGCAAGTCGTTTGTACCAGTCGCTTGGTTAGTTTGTCACAACACCTCATGTCATAAAAATGTCACAGTCTCACTCATGTCACACTGCTTCGAATTCAACAAATGCACTGCCCGCTTCTTAGCTGATTTTACATCATATGATCATACTATCATAGTACCTACTAAATAAAATTAGCATTTATTTATATTATATCATAACACTTAAGTTATGAAATTTATTGACCTGTCTGTGGAGTCATTGCCGTAAGTGCAAACATTCTTACCAATACCTCCTCCCCAACACTATACTTGGGTATACAGACATACGAAGGACTACTAAATTGGAGGATGTCACCGCACTAAAGTGAAATTGGACTGACCGCATGTACAGGGAAAAGAGTAGAAAAGTGGATCAGAAAGGTAACAGAATGGTTACCAAGAAAAATGTCAAAAGGAAAAGAGGTCGTCCCTTTTAAAAGATGGTCCGATGACTTTAAAAAAATAGCTGGACCTCTATGGACTAGGCTGACAAATGACAGAGCCAGTTGGATAGAGCTTGGGGGATCTATGCGTCTTCAGGTTGCGCTGATGTTATAGATTAAGTAATTTATTAAAATAATTGATTTGTCAATATAATATAGGTTAATATATAAATAAAAAAATACTTTGGTATACCAAAAGTCATTTTCAACTTAAATTTAATATATAAACTTGACGAATAACAAGCTTAGGTGTGAAAGTACCAACTGCTCGGCTTTGGCTTTGTTTGGTAATAGCTGATTTAGTTTTTCTTCATACCGGGGTCCGGCCTAAATGGGAGGAAGAGTCGCGCGCTCAACACACACGAACTGGTAATTTTACAATTCAGAACCAAGTGCTCTGATCCTACCGAATAGTTCTATATAAGCGGCTTGCTAATAATTCTATACATGTATATGATGCTATATAATTGGGAGCTGTGCGATGTTAAAAAAAATGTCGATATAGTTAAATTAATATATTAATATCGTTAATCATATCTCAGTGTATTTTATCAGTAACCACCAAACTAGCGATGCATCAGTAATCGATGGATTAAATGCCAATCCCCACAAAATCCCCAATCGAGTTGAAATTCCCCCGCAAATTGGCAACAATGCCAGTAACACTTTTGGTGAGTTTCTATGAAATTTAGAAATATTTGTAGATTCAAACACCAGTGTGACATTGGAGGCGTGTCTATGAAAAATCTCTTAGGTCCGATTACAACCATGTAACCATAGCATATGTAACTTTATATGAATTGTGTAATGTACAAAATATCGAGTTGTTAGGTTTTCGCGATTGTTTTAAATCGCGTATATTTGTTTTTTCAATCAAACCGACGTTTCGGGTCCTTTACATGGTCGACGAACCGTAAAACAAATAATCACACAAGTAGCGCGTCTTCCGGAGAATTCTCGTGTCCGGGAGTATATTATATCGACCATCGACAGAATATTGATCACGCTTATGGAATAAACAGCCGAACTTGTTCCATTTGAATCACCATCGGAATTATCAATTTTTGTAAGTTCATACATACATGAGGCACGTTTTAAAATTTTTCCTGTTATTAAAATGTATATGTATATAAAAATTGATTCAGATAGTTGAAGCCCTTTAGTAAAACGAGCTAGTTATATTTGAACCATTCTTAATGGTTACAACAACGAAGGAACTCAATTAAAAAAGAAACTGTATATATGAAAAATCGCTAGAGGGCGCGCGAAGACGCCACAGCGTTTCACTGTACGCAGTTTATGGACATATTTCAATATAATCCAACGTCGTAAGATTTCCAATTCAGATATTTTTAGCAAAATTTAACTTCCACAATTTGTCGATTAAACTGTAAGCTAAAACTATTTAAAATTTTACGAAAAATGCCAACCCTGCAAAATCTATTTCACTCCGTCTTTAAAAATTTAAACCATTAATTTCCACACACATTAATTACATAACAAAACTAAGCTTAAAAGATTACTTATAAATGCAAAAATAACTTAAATTAATATATACATTAAATTATTTGTGTGTGTTCGACAGTCTCAGCATTTATTGAGCGGCAGAAGTCGTTGGTTTTCCAGCCTGCCCCCGATCTTTGCAGACACATTTGTAATAGCGCTTGTTTCGCAAACTTAGTACTAGGTAACATTATAAAGGGCAATCTGAATAATTAATAAATAATTCCTTTCAGTTAAATTTAAGAGCCCTCATGCCAAAAAAGTTTTGACGTTGGCTCCACCCGCACTCCCCGCTACCCGCACCTATCATTCGCCGCCCGCTACCCGTACGTCGCAGCGCAAACCGATCTAAAGTAATTTTCGCGCGCTTATCGTCGACCAGTAAACATTGAATCCATAGAGTCGTATTACGTATTTAAATATCCAACCCTAATTCTAAAGTACAATTTGAATAAAATGAATTAAGAGGGAGCAGAGGAAAAATTCCTAATCTTCGATTTGATTTTATAGGGGTATATCAACTTTAAAGTTAAAAATAAAATATTGTATGAGTAACTACACGATATATTCAAGCATAGACATTAATCAGAAACATAAAACAATAAAGTTTCCTCGATGAAAATGAAATGACCTCTAATTTTCACATTTTTTCGATTTATCCTCGAAATGGTACAGGTTATTAGGACAAAAATTAGATAATTAATTATATTTATGCATTATATTATGATCGACAACTGTCACTATGGATTTTTTATTTCCCTTTAATTTTAGAGTTATTCGGCTAAACGAATTTGGTACTTTTAATGCGCAAAATTCAACATCTCCTGTCGCATGTCACGCGAACTTCAGGCACATATTTGTTTCACAAATTTGGGCGGAGTCAACGTCAAAACTTTTTTGGCATGAGAGCTCTTAAATTTAATAAATAATCTCTATTTAAACATCATTGCGCATTTTACTCCGCTCTAACTGCGTTTCTAATCATCTTCTGTATGAATTTACCTATCCATGTATATAGTATATTATGTGCACCCTAATTCTAAACCAGTGTATGACAGTACAAAATTTTATATTTATTTAATTATCTATTGCCAAATAACAAGGCTAGTTCAGGAGTGTCTCTTTCTGCTCGTTGAACATTGTTTTGTTCATATGTTGTTTAAAAGCGCATGAAGAAACTTTCTTATGTAAGGTGGTAAGTTATTCCAAATTTTCGATGCAGCGTATTTGAAACAACCCCTGAACCCCATTAAAATGACAAAGCTACTTGTGATACGCACCCCAGTCCATGTGGCAAAACTTAGAATATGGGATAGTTCGATTTGTGAATGTCGCCTGGATGAAGGCACCCCAAACCATATATTTTTCACCTGCCCTACCAGAACATGTTCTATTTACGATAGTTTTTCACATTCTATACCTCGTACCGTAAATATCAAGTTCCAGTTATTTGTTTTTACAAATCCCTTCGTAAATTTAATAACTGATTTTATTAGTATTAACAAACTGAAATTATAAAACTTATTTATTTACATATCTTTAATGGTGATTGTATGTCGTGTTGTTTTGTATTGTTCCAGAAGCCGAATAGACTAAGTGCAGTGTTAATTAATTAAACATTTTTTTTTTTAAAAGTGTATTTCCTATGACTGACTAGACATTGGCAAAATTCTTCAAGAGAAGCCAGAAACTTAAGAACAGAATACTTGTGATACTCGACATTACAAAATGTTCGTATTTTATTATAACTGCCTCAGTGGCCGAACTGTTACCACGCTGGACTGCCACGCAAAGATCCCGGTTTCGATTCCCGGGCCGAGAGAAATATTAGTGCGGCCTACATTTATTTCTCTCGTAGTTTGGGTGTAATTTGTGGTTGGCTGTGCGCGAGTGTGTGCGTTAAAAAAGAAAATTTACAAGTCTTTTTATTTTGGAACTTCCTGAAATTATAATAAAGCAAATTCTCTAATTTGACACAACTCAATTGGTGTAGTTGTTTAGGATATAATTATTAGACGAAGCGTGTACCCAGCAGTGGGCTACACAAATAATAGGTTGGCAATGAACTTACCTCGATGTCGGAAGGTGTTTGCTCATCGTTGCATACGAGTGATGTTTCGTCCACATTTATGTCAGAGGGGTTCTACAACAGAGCAACATTACCGTAGTTATTATCATGGAAGAAAAAAACAATGGAAGGGCCTTATATCTCCGTTGCTATCAAGACCCCCTTTTCAGAATTCTTAGATATTTTAACCGAATCGTTCGATTGGATACCGTTCTCTATGAGAGCTATCCGACATCAGTCCGAAACAATTACTGCCAAATAAGCAATACTTGACCAAATGAAAAGACGCGTGATAAGAATGAAGCTTCATACTTCATACAGTCCGCGAGGCCTAAGCTGAGCTTTGCATTTGTGTGAGTGCACATAGATAGCGTAGGTGTGACGTCGGCCTAGAGGGCGACGCGTCCTTTGCTAGGTTTAAATCGGTTTAAACTGCTTTTTGTCAATTGGCCTGAGGCGCGGTGCATCCCTCGCGCGACGCAACTCCGCCGCGCACCTTTCACACTTCACCTCTTGTACTGGTAGCAGCGTGACGTGTTTAATACTTAATATTTTGTTTTTGAGTTCGATTTATTAGTGAAATGGCTGCCAACACAAATAAACGAATTATACGAAAACCTTTAAATAGCCAAGTAAAGGAAATTTTGTGTAACTTAAATAGTTATTTTAAAGACATGAACGACAAAGACATGTCAAGTGTCACTACATCAGCTCAATTGGTAGCGACATCGACGGGAATTCCGCTGTCCACTGTCAAAAGAGTTTTATTGGAAGGTAAACGTCTTTTGGAAGACGGAAGCAAATTTAAATCTCCGAAAAAGACCAGATGCAGGAGAAATATCATTATCATTGACGATTTTGATAAAGCGGTAATCCGAAGAACTATTCACAACTTTCACATTACTGATAAAGAGGTGCCAACTATGAAACGAATACATTAAAAGTTGAAGAGAGAAATAAACTATCCAGGTTCAATTTGGTCATTGCGTAAAGAAGTGTTTCTTTTAGGATTTAAATGAAAAAGAACAGAAGATAATAGAAAAATTCTAATGGAAAAACATGAGAAACTTTATCTACGTATACATTTTTTGATTAAAATTTCCGAATATCGCATTCAGGGCCGGCCAGTCGTTTATACCGACGAAACATACATAGACACGACTCACACTTCTTCTAAATCTTAATGGCAGCACTTCTGGTTTGAAGAAACCAATTTCTAAAGGAAATCAATAATAGTTCATGCCAATAATATGAATGCAGCAAACTACACGAAATAGTTACAAACGCAATTAATTCCAAATTTAAAGCCCAATAGCGTTGTGGTGGTAGACAATGCATCTTACCACAATTCGTTAGAAAATCCCGCTCCCAACTCAAATAGTCGTAAACAAAATATGATTGACTGGCTCAAGTATCGCAATATCGATCACTCTACATCGATGCTTAAACCACAACTCTATCAATTGATACTGCAAAACAAACAAAGATTTATTGAATATAAAATTGACAGTTTACTTAGAGAAAATGGTCACAGCGTCATTCGTCTACCACCCGGATTTCAACCCAATTGAAAATATATGGGCAATGATAAAAGGATACGTGGCTAATAAAAACGTGTCAATGAATATGGATACAATTATGAGGTTAGCGAAAGAAAAAGTTGACACTATCACTGTACAAGAATGGAAAAATATATGTGACCATGCAATAAAAGAAGAAAAAAGTTTCATGGTCACGATGCCATTCTTGACGATATAACGGAATGATTCATTATTAACACAAACGATACATCAGAGGAGAGTGAAAATGAAGACGAGAGTGATAAAGAAAATGCAATGTCCGGTGCAGAAGAATTGTTATAATTTTTTTTATATTTGAATTTTATTTATTGATCTCTGACTTCTCGATCACACTTACATATGTACACATGCTCATCGGTCATACATATCATAGCTGGCCTTTATTTTAACAATTTATGCTATTTAGTTTTAATTTATTTTTAAACTAGAATATCTCTCCCACTTATGTTAAAAACCTACCTAATACTAAAATTTATTTTTAAAAGTTTTTTGTCTGACTCTACTTTTGGTGATCACTTACACAAATGCAAAGCTCAGCTTAGACCTCGCGAACTGTACTTGTCTTTTAATTTTGTCGAATATTACTTATTTGACAGCAATTGTTTCGGACGGATGTCGGACGGACATCGAGAGTAACACCCCAAGTCCGGATACGATATTGTTATTCAACAGCGTTTAGGGAGTTAGTCGGTGAAATAGATTATAAGAAAAATTAAAATCCTTTTACTTTTTTTTAACATTTTTAAGACTTTAAAGGCCTAAAATATAGGAATACATTAGCCTTGCATTAAAAATTATAAGGGATTATATTAAAATAATAAGAGACTTCCATGTTACATTCGTGCTTTGTAAACAATAGAACGTTCGGTAACTTTGATTCGATAACTGTAATCCGTTTGCAGCCTTTGCCGGTCGAATAATCGTACGGGTATGACGTCATATCGGTTCGGTTTCAAATATGACAGTTTGACATTCGATTCGGGTAGTGTGAATAAAAATGAAAAGAAATCGTGCGATATCAAATCGAATTGGTCGAGAACTGAGATACCGCAACGTTCCGAATCGACCCCCTGCACCGCTACCGTCAAAACTCTGAGGTGCTAATATAATTTAAACTTTAAGACGTTTTTATTAACCGACTTCGAAAAAAGGAGGAGGTGCTCTTTTGATTTGTGTGATGTGAACCTATTTTGATGATTGGTTTTTTTGTTGGAAAGAGGGTACCTCCATGTGGTCCCATTCAATTTTGAAGAAAATCATCCACCTCTAAGGGTGTTCACGCACGAAGATTCATTTTTATAAAAGCGCCTAAATTTTATTATAAGGAGCAATTATTTTAATGGTTGATTTTGCTATTCTCCAATTCAAGGCGTTTTACTCTCTCAACATACTTTGAGTAGTGAGTACCGATTTTTATTATCTCCTGTGTCAAGTCCCGTATAGTGGCGAACTAGGGGATGAATTCGGGCTTGCGCACTTTCCGGTAACCGATTTCAATAAAACTTGGCAAATAGATGTACTTCCACGTACTTTTGAGGTCGGTTTTTTAGTACTCTGTACTGAGATTATTTTATATCTAAATTTCATCAACGTGCTGCCATTTAGCGGTAATAACTGAAAGACGAACTCTAAAACCAGTCGACCATATTACAGCAGAAAAATTATAACAATAAACAGAAAATTATTTAAAATCAAATATAATAACTGGGTAGCGCATTGTGTGTACCAACACAGATGAGAAGATTGAAGCGTACACACATTTGGGATTCAACTGAGCTAAATAGTCTTCCACATAGGCAACCCAGCAGTGGAATGGAATGCCTGATATGCCAAAACTCCGCGTACTGTTGGCACACGTACCACACGCACTAAGCACTTCTACTGTATCTATTGTTCTGTGGTTATAATATTATGGTTATATTAGGCAGAGACCATAGACCTCCACTTGCTACACGTCTGACAAACCGCTTTCGCCTCTTCCACTTCTGTCTCTTAATACATGCCTGTTTATACTTGGTAAAAGTACCAAGTATAAGCGGTTTAAAAATAAGCTGGACCTTTTTAGGATATTCAAAATCTGATTGAGATATGTACGTCGAGATCTCCTCACGCCTCCATCCACATTCGGTAAATTATTAATAAATAATGATTTTCTTTTATACCAATTGTACTGTTCTATATACCATACACTAGTCACAGACATAAAATTAATACAAGGAATAAAAATAAACTAGGTGTTATTGACAGCTGTCTTCATAAAGTCTGAAATATATTTAAGGGGCAATGTGTATGCTTCTAAAATAAGATTCTGAACGATATTTAAAGTTTGCCATTTATGAGGTTTCAAACTATAGTGAAACAAAAACTTTATACCAAAGGTTATTTATTAAGCAGCTTCTGCATACTGCGATGACAAAAATCCGTGGTAGTGACCCGTCTAGTTCTTGCAGGTCTCTCTAAGATGTTTAAATTAGATATTGTAATGATAAATGTGTATTAACAAAGACCAATCCCTAGAGTTTCGTGCTCATTCTTCTCAGGGGAATCTGCCTTATGAATGACCAGTAGAGTTTAATCAGTATGACGATTTCAAGTTTTCAAGTGTAATTTGCTTACCTATGAAATAAAGATTATTTGGCTTTGACTTAAACCTGAATAAGTCGGGATGTTGTAAAGATAATGAGTAACTTACCCATCCATGTCCCTCAGCTGCCAGGCTCTGACTGATTTCAGCTAGGAATCCTGAGCTGGGGTTCCTGGAGAGCGCTTCAAGGCTCTCGATGGCTGTGCCGTGCGTGTCTACGCAAGTTGACGAGATCTCGCACTCCGAGTCACGCACGTAGCCATCTTGTTCCAAGAGCGACGTGAAGTCCGGCTGAGGAAGGGAAATGTAAAATATATAAACTGAAAATGGAAGTTACAAGAATTTAGGAGACGGCAGATTAGAAAACTTAGTTTTGTTAGAAAAAACAAATTTAAGCAATTTTAAATCCGAAAAAATGCTGTCACGACTAGATATTATTATATGACAACTTGCCCAACGGGACATGGTATGTATAATAAATAAACACCTTTTCAAATTGGGAATCACAGACAGACCTCTATTGCAGAGCGTATAAGGAGGGGGTGGAAATGGCCGCGCGCATTCTTCTACAATGCTCTGGCATGGCCAACTACAGAGCGAAGTACCTTGGAGTGCCGAGGTCGCTCCCCGAAGTCTTCAGCAAACCCAGAAATGTGCAGAGTTTTCTAGAGGAGCTCGGGTGACACGACTAGGACCCTGCAGTTGCGAACACTAGCCCGTCACACCACACCATAATAATATGACGATTTACGAACGAGGGAGTTACGAAAAATTACATAGGAGATGAAAGATATGACAACTGAAGGTGAGAACCTTCATCGAGATCGAACTATGATAGATAGACTTGAACAATTGTTGATAATTTCCCAATAAACTTCTATAAAATTTCTGAGAATCTATCAGGTATCTACATGCGTATTTGAAACGCGTAACAAATTAAAATATAAATTATTTCAATGCATGTTATAACCATAGTATAACTAGACAATTATGGTGATTCTGTAGAAAAGTAGCTCAGCGGTTTGTTTGTGTGCACGCACGCCGTGTACGGAAGCACTCATTCGCACAATAATGAACGTGACGTGCAACGCGAGTGTTTATATGATTATGCGAATGTGTGTTTCCATACATGGCACAAGTCAGGCGTGCACACATACAAGCCACACTGCTACATTTGTATAAAGTTACCATACTTTTCTATTATACTATGTTATAATCCACTAAAAGTAGTAATTTTAAAGAACAACTTCCATTATGGCAACAGGCATAGAAGTGACTGCTTATTGGGTTAAAGACATTTAATATTGGTTTTTTGTCATTGACTCAATAAGAAAAAGAATTGTAATTTGCAAGTACACTAAGTTGAAACAACTTTTACATAATATGCTACTGTTAAACTACAGGAGTTCACAAACACAAATATGGAAGTTTAATACATATGATGGATACTTTTTATACTTACTTGTACATATTTTTCTCCAGCCACAGTCAGAAATTCTGTACAACTATCCAAATCATCAGTAGTGGACGTTGGTTGGTACATTTCCAGATCGTTGCTTGATTTCCTACGTTTATTCACTCGTTTGTCGACAGAATTTTTCCTCAACAGCCGTTCTTCTTTCTCAGTGGTCATCACCCGAGCTGCCTTATCAGCTAAGAAGTTAATATCTTCATCTTCGGGAGCTATTTCTGCATTGATCAATCTAGCGCATTCTGCTATAGCTATGAAATCGTTGAGACAGTCATTTGGAAGACATAATTCTGAAGATTCCACTTGTCCATCAGAGTCCGATTCTTCACTTTTCTGAGTGGGGAAATCAACTGTAGTAGTATGCGCTTCATACATCATTACATCATTGTCATCATTACACCAGTTTCGATTTGTTTCTGGGACAACAGGAGATTTGGTTTTAGATTTTTTCTTAGGACTTTCATCCGTAGAACTTACAGTGGTTTTTGTTACTTTTGGTGACGGCACACCCATTTGACGTACTTTGCGAATAGGTGAGCTGTTTAATGAAGCAGACTTATCACCTTTATCTAAACGTCTCGTCTTTCTTGGTGAACTAATATTTGATGGCATTGTTTCAGTTTTGCGTAGTTCCCTATTGAGAGAGTTCACTCGTAACTGTGCCGCCTTGGTTGTACGTACATCTTTGATTTTCGATTTAGATGTTGTTGTTACTTTGTCATTTTGAGTTTTGGACTTTGTTGAAGTTACAGAATCTTTATTACTGCTACGAACAACGGTTTGGAAGATCGGTTTCTTATTACAACTTTCCTCTTTGTGCCTCAACCTTGTTTTGTGCGAGTCAACTGGTTTCTCCATGCTTCTCACGGTTCTAACGGGTCGTGTTTTTAAATTTTTAGATCTGGTATAGATTTGTGAGTCCTGTATCCCATTTTTGGCAGCATCACGATTCAGGATTGTCTTCCACGCACTTTTAGAAGTGTTCGTCAAAGTCTTGGTAATTGGCTTGATTAATTTGGACACTATTGGTGAATTCCTCTTCCCCGAGAGCGGCCGCTCCCTCTTTCTACTCCTTAAACGCATTGCAGGTTCAGGAAGGATTCAACCTGAAACTAAAAGGTTGTTTTTTTTTAAATAAAGGCTAAATAAATACAAAAACTTCATATATATACGCAAAATTAAGAGAATTTGAATAAAATTGTGTAGAGATAGTAGTAATTTTGAAGTTAATTCTCAATATAAGGGTTAAGTAGGCGGCTATACTTAGATACTAGTACCTACTCACTTGAACCCAATACGAAAATTAGAAAGTTATTTTTCTTCCACGCATAAAGGGCACCGGAACTGCGAAAATTTTACACACACAACGGGATGTCTTTAATAAACATAAACCGCGTCTGAAGCGTCTTTGTCTCAACACTTTCTGGTTTATTTTTGTCCTCGAAAATTCGGCGCGGCAAAAAGTATTCGCGCCTTTTTTACAAGCTACTTTTATTCACATTTTAATACTATAGTACACTAAAATTTATTAATTATTGATCTTTATTAACTAATTTCAAGAAACACCGCGCATTTTGACCTTTTTAACACCAATTAACTGCAAAATCGAAACGAGAAAACTAAAAAAGCGGCACTACAACTTATCGATTTATGTACTGTTAAACGAAAACGATTCTCACTGATGCATTAGATTTTATTCATCCGAAATTCCTGCGTGTTGTTCAATCGCGGAAATATAAACAGAACAAGCTGTTTTTCAAGTAATTACATGATCATTTATCTATTGGAACACAAAGCCAAACAAATGTCAAAATGGCGGCGTTTCTTAGTACGTTTCCTATTTTCTCTTCAGATGGCGCTTCAGACTTTCGCGCATGCGTTTTGAAAACTTTTGAAAATCGATAGCGAATTACGATATTACAGTCTGTGTGAGATTTTTTGATGAATTGATAATTTTGAAACGAAATCATAAAAATTTTAAATAACAACTCGGTAAAAACCTATAATATTACAATTTACTGTAGTGCTATTGTTTATCCAATCACATTTTATTGTCAAAAACGAAACGCATTAAGCAACGTCAAAATATAGCAGCACGCTCATTTCATGTTTTCGTAATTCATTTAAATAAGTAACATTTTATTTACAAAGTGACTAGTAGTATGGTAAATGTAATTGTATAGCACATAATTTACACTCAAGTGATGCTCATTTCATGTTCATATCAAATACAAAAATATCTAACTCTCATTTGAGCAATATACCACTCCTTGAAATACTTGACATTGCCATCATGATCCATATTTATGAATGTAACGAATAGCCTTCTAAATCAAAACCAAACCGATTTGCCTTAGAAATACTGTTTGTTTTTTGGAGTATTTCGTAATTTTATCAGGTCATTTGTTCTAATTAATTAAATTTAACACTATGTCCAGCGCTTCAGTCACATCCTCGAAACGGGAGGTAATTCTTTTAGAACACTATATTCTTTTCTACTTTGTTTCATGAAACATTGTTCCGTTTTTATGCTATAGTACCACCGGATTTTTCCAAAATATTGTGTAAAATACAATCTGTAAATAATAGAACACTGATGTAAACTTTGACGAAATCTCCGTTCTCTTCAAGTTATTTTACATTTAATTGTGTTACAAAGTTGAAATGATAAAATCGTACCTGTTTTAAATTTCTGAAAAGAGACTTCTGATCCAGTCACGACAATCTTGAGGCGTGCACTGCTTGATTATCCTCTTAGCCGCATTTAAATCTGGCATCAGAGTACTAAATAAACTAAGAGCATCAGGACACCCACACCAGCACTAAGTTAGAAATAATGTTTCTTAAATTGGTTCAAACGAGAATTGAACCTTGTCATTATATTAATACTAACAACAACCACTAGATGTACATTGTACTTACTGTCACCAAGCAGTAATGATGATGAGCATTGCTGTGTTCCGAGTTGGAAGGGTGAGGTTGCTGGTGATATTACAAGCTCATGGGACTTCTCAATTATATCTCAGGATGACGGGCGTGGTGGCAGTGCCGACCTAAATAATAATAATAATGTACACATTCAACATACCCCACACTAGGGAAACCCTATGGCGCGGATGCTATGGACACACACATAGACAACCACAAATTACACCCAAACTCATGAGAGAAATAAATGTAGGCCATACAAATATTTCTCCCACTTCGGGAATCAAACCTGGGACCTCTGCGTAGCAGTATAGGCGTGTTGCTTACCTTCAGGCGCTTGACTTGTTTGTCCCCTCATTTGTGTCATAAAAAGGACACAACCACATAATTCACAGATTACTACAAAAATATAAAATTTTCAAATGAAGCATTATTGCTATTGAATTTAAAAAAGTACAATATTGACAACAAAATAAAAAGCACACCCACCACACGCAAAATACCAAGTACCAAGTAAATTAAAGAAACAGTCTACCTTAATAACATTACCGAATACATTTTAAAAAACAGTTTCACAATCCACTACAGTGCTAAGCCCAATGATTCAGTAACAGCCTTCTTAAATTTGTATTTAGACAGATCAAAAACGTCTACTTCCGACAATAGCTCATTGTAATTAAGAAATAATTGCCTCAGTGGAGTGCGTATACCAACCAGACCAAAAAAATTTACTTCAGATGCGATACCCAGAACACTGAACCAATTTAAAAAAACTTAGAAATTTAGAAAACTTCATCTCACACATTGGTCTTACCAGGTATCAAACTTTGGACATTCTCATCCAGAGCTCACAGCAAAAATTGTTAAGCCATGGAGGTCATCGTATTAGATAGAGTGCTTCCGTAATTTATATCTGTAGGATTTGTATACGTTTTTACAACAAGATTCTGGAGCTTATATTAAAATTACCATTTCCTAAGTATAAAACTTACATTAAAATTTTTAATTGAAAACTCATAATACAAAATTGTAGCCTATGTGTTAGATAAAGATGTATGGAAATCAACACGAGTCTAGATTCCACACAAATATGTATTTAAGTATTTAAGTTTATTTGAAAAGAGCAATCCCTGGAGTTTCTTGCTCGTTCTTCTCAGGGAAGTCGGCACAGTGAATGAGCAGTACCTGGCTTAAAAAATGACGTTTTCAAGTGTGAAAATTGTACCTATGGAATAAACGATTATTCCACTTTGACTTATCAATTTACCTGTGCTTATTCTCTTTCAGAAACAAACTGCAGAACTGTCTCAAGAATTAGAATCCATAAAGGCTATGAATAGCAGTCTACAAGTATACCTAGATAACCTAAGAACATTCAGAAAGAACCTTATAGCTATGAACAATAATTGTCAACAGCTTTGCAAAGTTAACACTCAATGGATTGAGACATTGAATACTATGATGAAATAAAAGATTTTTGTATTGGGTTTATATTTTGTTTATTGACACTATACGACACTTAGGGTCGTATTCTAGAACTCTACTCAATGCTCAAGTCAGGATTGCACTGGAAACACAGGCACTGGAAATACGACCCTAATGGCAGGGACTTGAGTATGATTTCGAGTGCTTTAAACCATACTCAAGTCCTGACTTCAGCATTGAGTAGAGTGCTAGAATACGACCCTTAGGGTCGTATTTGCCTCAATGCTCAAGTCAGGATTTGAGCAGTCTTGAGTATGGATTCAAACACTGGAAATACGACTCTAATGGCAAGGACTTGAGTATGATTTCTAGTGCTTTGAATCATACTCAAGTCCTGCCTTGAGCATGGAGTAGTATTGAGTAGAGTTCTAGAATACAACCCTTAGGGTCGTATTCCAGAACTCTACTCAAAACTCAAGTCAGGACTTGAGTATTGCAGTGAGCACTGAAAATCGTACTCAAGGGTCGTATTCTAGAACTCTACTTAATGCTCAAGTCAGGATTTGGGCAGACTTGAGTATGATTTCAAGCACTGGAAATACGACCCTATTGGCAAACACTTGAGTATGATTTTCAGTGCTGACTGCAATACTCAAGTCCTGACTTGAGTATTGAGTAGAGTTCTGGAATACGACTCTTAATCTAAAGTTAAACCAATCAAGCAATCTATAGTTACCTATGTATTGTATAGGTAGATTGGTACTACTTTGAGTACCTAATTGAAAATTTAACTGATCCACCAATAATAAAAATGAGCATTCTTAATAATGTTATACTATTTAAAACTCTAATAAAACATTCTTCATCAAATTGACACCTATAATATGTTATTTAACACTGCATACCTCACACCACACATAGAAATTGGTTTTAACAACTTTATCATTACTATAGCATCCATTAAATATTTAAGATGACCACATATTGGTCTTGTGAGTTCATCAGCAATTTGAAGATGAACTGGCATGGTTGCCTGTTAAAATTCGTGTTCTGCACTTGAAGTTTATAATTCTGCTATTGTGACACTGGTGGTGTTTGCAGAATAGTATGATATAATGATCGAGTATATAACCAGAAATAGAGACGAAATAAGGACCAACAACTGACCTGTGTGTACGACTCCGTATATTCCAAAACCATTATGTATTTATTGTAATAAAGATAATATTTGTAACTATGGTAACTATCGGTTCTATTCGGTGGTGTGGGAAAAGAAGCAAAACGTCTAATTACAAAACAAACGGAATCACATTTCATCGGTAATTAAACATGTAATTTTTCAATTTACTTCCATTATAGCAAAGCTCAAGTTAAACTGGTCGATTTGATGTGAAACAATTGACGACACCAGTCAATCGGGCTGGCCAATCGGAGCGCAATTGTCATCGTAATGATTTGGCAGAATCATTTTCAAACAAATTAAATGACATTTCGTCTCTATTTCTAGTTATACACCTACTCGATGAATAGAATGCATGAATATGCCAGAGCATGGTAGACCGGTTGAATTTGGTAATATATCTTATTGTAATAAAAGCTGTGAGAGTGTGTTAGTAAGTAGTATATCTAATAGTTACACGTGATCATACGGCAAAAATGGTTTTATCTCCATATAAGTCATGATCTTAGAAGATGGAAAAAATGTCATAATACACACTACTTGAAACAATATATTATGTAGCCTCCTTATAACACCAAAGGTACGATGTATACGTATGTACATACATCTTGACAAAAATGAAGTTATTTTAAAGTAAATTTTTTATTGTTTTACATACTAATGATTTTTTTAGACTTATTCATGAATCACATTTTGAAAATCATTGCACAAAACGGTCGTGACGGATAGTACGAAGTTGTTTCAATAAAAATATCCAACATTCACCCATTGCGTTCTTTAATGGTACATAATAAATCAATTTTATACAATTCAAACAGAATTAAAGTTCACAGAAATATTGATAACCTATTACGCCGTTAGGTATCCCGAGGTAGAGTTACTGTCGGGGACGACAATGTCTTCCCTTACTACAGGCGGATATGTGATTCCCATTTTTAATGTTTTTTCTGAAACAAGACATTATCCTTCAGATTAGATGCTTGTAGAAGCGCCGCAGCTGAATGTCGGTAGAGCTTTAATAATTTTTAGTTCACTAATTGTGACTGGAAAAGTGGCGCGCGTGTGTCACGACAATGGAGTTGCGACTATGCTTCTAGATATTGTTTGAAAATTAGTACTGGCTTTTCTATAGGCGTCGAATTTGAAGGCGCCTTAAATTATATTTCTTTCAGTGGCGACGGATAACTTGTTATGTAAATGGACGTGTCATATGCAGGAATGAGAGGCGCATTGTTCTTGAGGTGTTGAATATAAAATTTGGATTGTTGTAAGAGGAGAAATTGGAAAGATGGAATGTTAGAAAAATTACGACGAGACGACCACTGGGGATAAAAAGAAGAAAAACGTCTTCCCGACCTCGTTTATTTGAGACCGAGGTAGTCCGTTTTCTAATAGCAGGTAGTTTTCAGACTAGATATATCTGAAAAGGATCAATATCAATAGAACAAAAGAAAGAGATATAGTCATTGACTTACAATTATGTGGACGTCGGGTCCGCGGTAAAAAGAGTCCGAACTTATAGGGCGTTAAAATCGTATACAGTACAGAGCGTCATTCACGCTTTAGTCTTCGTTTGTTCGGCTGACAGCGAAGCAAGCAAAATTAGACAGTACTGCGATGACATTACAATTTAAATTCAACGTTTTAGCTTTTTCATATTCGTTTACATGTCACTACGTTTAAATAGGTTGACTTGGGACATTTTTTTCGTGGTTTTTGTATTAGACCCGTCGTCCATTTATTTGTAAGTCAATGGATATAGTGATTTGTTATGATGGTAGTAACTAAAAGATTACGAATGCCCACTGATTTTCGTGAATATTTTTCCTCTGTCAACAGTAGACTGGAAGCCTGATAGAAAGTAATTGTAACCAAATACGACACTCTTTTTTATTAAATTCATACTTATGAAGTCTGTAAGGCATGGGTCTGTGACCGTAAATAGAAATTCAAGAACTTACCTATCATGCAGATGGAATACTGTGGCGTGTCGCATGGCAGGCCGTATATCAGTCCAGTGAGGTGGTTGGTACGGTCCAAGTTGAGGCATGGACTGTCCATAGTGTACTCCTCGTCTAGCCATGGTGGCATCTAAAATATGTAAGAGGCAGTGTGAATTTAAAATGAACTCTGATAATGAATGAAATTATTTTAATATTTTAAAAATGACTGATAACGTTATAACAGTCAAACTTCAACACGTCAGCCTTTACAAAAATACAGTGTGGTTCGACCCTAAAATAAATAATGACTTATTGTTTATTATGCGAAATGAAACAATTTTTTCAGGTCTAAAATGCGCATATTTGTTTTTTCAAACATACCGATGTTTCGGGCCCTTTACAGGTCCTGACTGAGATCTGTCAACCGTGACTATACACAGGGTGTAGTCGTTAAGTGTGCCCAGGCAATTATTCCATAAATATGTGAGATATCGAAAAGTTTTAAACTGACATCGAAAGTACGTTACCTAATGAGTAAATCGACGACGAATATCTAAAATTTTAACATTAAGCACTCCCGTAAATTTAATGACATTCGTAGAGAGGCTTTAGTTGACCTACTTTAAGAGGTAACAATAAGTTTACACATAATAAAACTGCTTTAAATAAAGTAATCAAACTATCATTCAATTGAATAAAAATATATGTCATAAATGAATAAAATTGACCAAATTTTTTAGTGCTGATCGACTCATTTCGTTGTGTGAGACGAAAAAGTCGGGACAGCAGAAGCCGGTCAAATTTAATTAAATGTTTTTCGAGTTCTTAGGTTTTCGCGATTGTTACACATAGGAAATGAAACTATTTTTCCGGATTTAAATCGCGTATATTTGTATATTTGTAGTTGACTGTCACAGTCAACCGTGACCATGGGACCTGTAAAAGGCCCGAAACGTCGGTTTGTTTGAAAAAACAAATATACGCGATTTAAATCCGGAAAAATAGTTTCATTTCCAAAATGTTTTTCGTTTTTGTCATATTAAATGTATTGGATTTCTAGTTTTATTTTTGACTGTTCTATTTTAAAAGTTGAGTGAGAACATACGTATTATTAACTTACAATAAAAATGTCAATTACTGTATTTAGGCTCAATTTACGTCGCCGCGGAATGGAACGGAAGTGAATTTTTGTAACCATAGCATAATTAACTTTATGTCATTTGTGTAACGTTCAAAGTAGACACGAGCCAAGAAACAGTGTCGTGGGTCTCGTGGCGAATTATGTACAGTATCGGAAATTCCCGTAGCCACGCCACCACCGTATCGGATTGTATTGTACGTTATACAACTTGCATAAAGTTCAATATGCTATGTACAAGTCGTTACAAAAATTACCTAACTATTATAATTTTATTGTTCAGATTTTATTTAATGTTAATTGTTACACCAACTAAAAAAGAGAAGATAATCGTCCTAGTGTTGAGCTAGGTGTTCTTATGCTTATGTTCAGCTTGCTTACACACACTTGAAACATTAAGTTTTTATTCGCCGATATAACAATGATAAATTCGGAGTAGGTAAGTAGGCAAAGTACTCACGTATAATCCCGAAGTTGAGTCTCCGAAAGTTTTGGGATCAGGAATTCTTTTTCCACTTGAGGGATTGTTCCACGAATACGAAACAACGTCATTGTTAATATCTTTCGTCATATTCAACCGTCCCGAAATCCAAACGTGATTAACCGCTACAAAAATAAATAAAAAAAAGATTTTTCTGTTAAGCTTAATTAAAGAGCTACCTTTATAAGCACCATTAAAGTATCTAATAAGGGCACCTTTCTCGTACATAATTCAAAACATCAACAACTTAGTTTCAAAATGACGCAATTGATGGCGCTGCTTGGAAATATCCTAGAATTTTCATAGATGGCGTTGTCAAATAGCATCAAATTCAAATGCTCAATTAATGTTGGCGTTCTGTACTAAGTGGATCATTTATCCAACAATAGGTGGCGTAACAAAAACGAATTGCAAAAACATACGTTCTTCCTTGCTTTCGCCCATAACGAGCAAAAGTTGTATTAAAATGTCGTTGTTGTCCAGGAAAGCCAATGATCCGTTCATCTT